ATGACATCGGTATGATGAGGTACCACGCCCCTGCCTATGAAGACCTCATGACATCGGTATGATGATGTGGCACGCCCCTGCCTACGAAGACCTCATGACATCGGTATGATGAGGTGCCACGCCCCTGCCTATGTGGATCTCATGACATCGGTATGATGAGGTGCCACGCCCCTGCCTATGAAGACCTCATGACATCTGTATGATGATGTGGCACGCCCCTGCCTATGAAGACCTCATGACATCGGTATGATGAGGTGCCACGCCCCTGCCTATGTGGATCACATGACATCGGTATGATGAGGTACCACGCCCCTGCCTATGAAGACCTCATGACATCGGTATGATGATGTGGCACGCCCCTGCCTACGAAGACCTCATGACATCGGTATGATGAGGTGCCACGCCCCTCCCTATGTGGATCACATGACATCGGTATGATGAGGTGCCACGCCCCTGCCTATGTGGATCACATGACATCGGTATGATGAGGTACCACGCCCCTGCCTACGAAGACCTCATGACATCTGTATGATGAGGTGCCACGCCCCTGCCTATGTGGATCTCATGACATCGGTATGATGAGGTACCACGCCCCTGCCTATGAAGACCTCATGACATCGGTATGATGATGTGGCACGCCCCTGCCTACGAAGACCTCATGACATCGGTATGATGAGGTGCCACGCCCCTGCCTACGAAGACCTCATGACATCGGTATGATGAGGTGCCACGCCACTGCCTATGTGGATCTCATGACATCTGTATGATGAGGTGCCACGCCCCTGCCTATGTGGATCACATGACATCGGTATGATGAGGTGCCACGCCCCTGCCTATGTGGATCACATGACATCGGTATGATGAGGTACCACGCCCCTGACTACGAAGACCTCGTGACATCTGTATGATGAGGTGCCACGCCCCTGCCTACGAAGACCTCATGACATCGGTATGATGAGGTGCCACGCCACTGCCTACGAAGACCTCGTGGCATCTGTATGATGAGGTGCCACGCCCCTGCCTATGAAGACCTTGTGACATCGGTATGATGAGGTGCCACGCCCCTGCCTACGAAGACCTCATGACATCGGTATGATGAGGTGCCACACCCCTGCCTACGAAGACCTCATGACATCGGTATGATGAGGTGCCACGCCACTGCCTATGTGGATCTCATGACATCTGTATGATGAGGTGCCACGCCCCTGCCTACGAAGACCTCATGACATCGGTATGATGAGGTGCCACGCCCCTGCCTATGTGGATCTCATGACATCGGTATGATGAGGTGCCACGCCCCTGCCTATGTGGATCTCATGACATCGGTATGATGAGGTGCCACGCCCCTGCCTATGAAGACCTCGTGACATCTGTATGATGAGGTGCCACGCCCCTGCCTACGAAGACCTCATGACATCGGTATGATGAGGTACCACGCCCCTGCCTACGAAGACCTCGTGACATCTGTATGATGAGGTACCACGCCCCTGCCTACGAAGACCTCATGACATCGGTATGATGAGGTACCACGCCCCTGCCTACGAAGACCTCGTGACATCTGTATGATGAGGTACCACGCCCCTGCCTACGAAGACCTTGTGACATCTGTATGATGAGGTGCCACGCCCCTGCCTACGAAGACCTTGTGACATCTGTATGATGAGGTGCCACGCCCCTGCCTACGAAGACGTCATGACATCGGTATGATGAGGTGCCACGCCCCTGCCTACGAAGACCTCATGACATCGGTATGATGAGGTGCCACGCCACTGCCTATGTGGATCTCATGACATCTGTATGATGAGGTACCACGCCCCTGCCTACGAAGACCTCATGACATCGGTATGATGAGGTGCCACGCCCCTGCCTATGTGGATCTCATGACATCGGTATGATGAGGTGCCACGCCCCTGCCTACGAAGACCTTGTGACATCTGTATGATGAGGTGCCACGCCCCTGCCTACGAAGACCTCATGACATCGGTATGATGAGGTGCCACGCCCCTGCCTACGAAGGCCTCATGACATCGGTATGATGAGGTGCCACGCCCCTGCCTATGTGGATCACATGACATCGGTATGATGAGGTGCCAAGCCCCTGCCTATGAAGACCTCATGACATCTGTATGATGAGGTGCCACGCCCCTGCCTACGAAGACCTCATGACATCGGTATGATGAGGTGCCACGCCACTGCCTATGTGGATCTCATGACATCTGTATGATGATGTGCCACGCCCCTGCCTACGAAGACCTCATGACATCGGTATGATGAGGTGCCACGCCCCTGCCTATGTGGATCTCATGACATCGGTATGATGAGGTGCCACGCCCTGCCTATGTGGATCTCATGACATCGGTATGATGAGGTACCACGCCCTGCCTATGAAGACCTCATGACATCGGTATGATGATGTGGCACGCCCTGCCCTACGAAGACCTCATGACATCGGTATGATGAAGTGCCACGCCCCTCCCTATGTGGATCACATGACATCAGTATGATGAGGTGCCACGCCCTGCCTATGTGGATCACATGACATCGGTATGATGAGGTACCACGCCCCTGCCTACGAAGACCTCATGACATCTGTATGATGAGGTGCCACGCCCTTGCCTATGTGGATCTCATGACATCGGTATGATGAGGTACCACGCCCCTGCCTATGAAGACCTCATGACATCGGTATGATGATGTGGCACGCCCCTGCCTACGAAGACCTCATGACATCGGTATGATGAGGTGCCACGCCCCTGCCTACGAAGACCTCATGACATCGGTATGATGAGGTGCCACGCCACGCCTATGTGGATCTCATGACATCTGTATGATGAGGTGCCACGCCCCTGCCTATGTGGATCACATGACATCGGTATGATGAGGTACCCACGGCCCTGACTACGAAGACCTCGTGACATCTGTATGATGAGGTGCCACGCCCTGCCTCACGAAGACCTCATGACATCGGTATGATGAGGTGCCCGCCACTGCCTACGAAGACCTCGTGGCATCTGTATGATGAGGTGCCACGCCCCTGCCTATGAAGACCTTGTGACATCGGTATGATGAGGTGCCACGCCCCTGCCTATGAAGACCTCATGACATCGGTATGATGAGGTGCCACGCCCCTGCCTACGAAGACCTCATGACATCGGTATGATGAGGTGCCACGCCACTGCCTATGTGGATCACATGACATCGGTATGATGAGGTACCACGCCCCTGCCTATGTGGATCACATGACATCGGTATGATGAGGTGCCACGCCCCTGCTTACGAAGACCTCATGACACGGTATGATGAGGTGCCATGCCCCTGCCTATGAAGACCTCATGACATCGGTATGACCATGCATGTATGTAGACCTCATGTTCTCGGTATGACCATGCATCTATGTAGACCTCATGACCTCAGTATGACCAAGCATCTATGTAGACCTCATGATCTCGGTATGACCATGCATCTATGTAGACCTCATGACCTCGGTATAAACATGCATCTATGTAGACCTCATGTTCTCGGTATGACCATGCATGTATGTAGACCTCTTGACATCGGTATGACCATGCATCTATGTAGACCTCATGACCTCAGTATGACCATGCATATATGTAGACCTCATGAACTCGGTATGACCATGCATCTATGTAGACCTCATGACCTCAGTATGACCATGCATGTATGTAGACCTCAGTATGACCATGCATGTATGTAGACCTCTTGACCTCGGTATGACCATGCATATATGTAGACCTCATGATCTTGGTATGACCATGCATGTATGTAGACCTCGTGACCTCGGTATGACCATGCTTGTATGTAGACCTCATGACATCAGTATGACCATGCATCTATGTAGACCTCATGACCTCAGTATGACCATGCATGTATGTAGACCTCATGACCTCAGTATGACCATGCAACTATGTAGACCTCATGATCTCGGTATGACCATGCATCTATGTAGACCTCATGACTTCAGTGTGACCATGCATCTATGTAGACCTCATGTTCTCGGTATGACCATGCATGTATGTAGACCTCACGACCTGGGTATGACCATGCATCTATGTAGACCTCATGATCTTGGTATGACCATGCAACTATGTAGACCTCATGATCTCGGTATGACCATGCATCTATGTAGACCTCATGACTTCAGTGTGACCATGCATCTATGTAGACCTCATGTTCTCGGTATGACCATGCATGTATGTAGACCTCACGACCTGGGTATGACCATGCATCTATGTAGACCTCATGATCTTGGTATGACCATGCATCTATGTAGACCTCATGACCTCGGTATGACCATGCTTGTATGTAGACCTCATGACCTGGGTATGACCATGCATATATGTAGACCTCATGACCTGGGTATGACCATGCATGTATGTAGACCTCATGACCTCAGTATGACCATGCATGTATGTAGACCTCATGACCTCAGTATGACCATGCATCTATGTAGACTTCATGACCTGGGTATGACCATGCATCTATGTAGACCTCATGATCTCGGTATGACCATGCATGTTTGTAGACCTCATGTTCTCGGTATGACCATGCATGTATGTAGACCTCATGATCTCGGTATGACCATGCATCTATGTAGACCTCATGACCTCGGTATGACCATGCATGTATGTAGAGATATCCCACCTGTTGAGACACTAAACAATGGTAATAACATGTAAGCCAAGTTAATTAGGAATACAAAAATATCTCAAAAGAGAAGTATCAATTATTCAAAACATTAATTGTTATTAATAATAACTGGTTTACAAATCAGAAAGCAATATTAATGAAACTGTGTGTGATGGTACGAGCGCATGTCAGGTGATGCACGGCTTGCTTCGTCACGGCGGGCGGCTGCAACAGCTGGTGTGTGTCACGTGTACAATCTCCTCCCAACCAGGTGGATGTATACAGGGCTTATCACGGCTTAGTGGATTATACAGTCGTTACAGCACTAAACAAGGCTCCTGGCTGCAGCCGCTGACATCAGGATTACAGTTCCACCACAGGCTGTATCTTCCATCACATGACGGCATACATGTCCTGGCTGACACGTCCAAACACAGCCAATTACTTCTACACCCATAAGTATGAAGAACGTTACTTCCTCGTTATAACGAATGTCAGCTCACCCTTTAAGAGACTCGCGGAGACAGATGCATGAGCCTGGGTCTCTTTGCATTTGTACAGATTGATTTGGCCAGTGTGCCATGACGCGTGATTAATGTTAATTGTTTCAAAATAAAAAGCAAATTAAAAATAAGTAACCTATACATGCGAATATAAAACAATTTTTTTGAAGCAATAACAAAACACACTTTACTATTTACAAACGTGTGTATACCAACCACTATCAAGAGCATCGGGATCGTGAATAAAGCTGGCCTATACCATCTAACATTGAAATCATCCAACTGTTTATTGATTTATTCACTTAATATAGTGATGTGTGAAGGTAATTTAAACAGTTTATCGGGAAGTCACAGCCCACGGCTAGGAATAGCTCACAAGCCAGGGTGGGCTGCCATTCTCGTTCGTTTTAGGAGCGTGAGCCACAATTTATAACTTGCCGTGGACTTTGATTTGTCAACAGTTGCCGAGCACAGTGCGGCAAACGCAATCTGAATCAGAACACGGAAATTCAGAAATATTTATGACAGATCAGGCAAGTTGTCGTACCGAGCAATAACGGTCGACAAGTTTAGGCGGCGAAATGCACTCATACCAACCAGCAGTTGATCCATGCTTTGGTTTCCAGTGAAATCGTGTGTCCACCAACTGACCGAGGTCGGAGAACATGAAGGGTCTGTGTCCATTTCGATGGTTTCTGACATTGTTGTGTGGATTTCTTTTGCACATACGTCATGGATTTGCTGACACGTTTAATTTTAATGCATTGACTAAAATACCAATACTGATCGACGAGAGTGACTCGAAGAGTATAGTTTTCAATACAACAGTGGACAACAAGAGGCCTACTTCGGCGTTCTTGCATTTCGTCACCGAGGACCCGAAGATAGCCGCAGTGACCGGGAATGACGTGTTACCCGTGGCGGAAAATGTTACCATTCAGATACGAGGGATATTTCTAGGGCAAACATATGTCAAAGTTTCATCTAACAGTTCCGACCTAGCCTCCGGCAATGCTTCGTGTCTACGTAAGGGAGGTAACTCGTCTAACACTTGGTGTGAGGTGGATGAAAAATATGAAATTATTGTCAGTCGTAAAGTGAGGCCTATTGACACTGTGTTTAATGTCGTCATCATTTGCCTTGTTGTTGTGGCAAATATTGCCATGGGATGTAAAGTTGAAATTCCTGTTGTCAAGGATACCATGAAGAGACCTGTTGCACCAATCACAGGACTAGCCTCCCAGTTCATCTTGATGCCAGTGGTAATGTCAAATGTTTTTGTTTGTTTCAAACTTAATGTAGTTTACTTGCAAGTTAACTCCCTACGTGCCAGAATAACATACAATGCAGTGCAAAATTATCCTGCAACAGATTTTTTTTTATAGTTAATATTGTGAGGGTGTCAATCACTGACTTACCTCTTCCATACAAATTGTATTGAGAGCTAACAGGCTAACTGCCCCAGGACAACTGCCCCTGGCTATCTGCGTATCTACGTACGGCTATAAAATTACACAGAAATGTAGAATATTAAATTTCCTATCCGTTGGTATAAATATAAGTGCAACTACCTTGGCGGTTTGAGAAATAAACACTGCTAAATGTTGTCCAAAGTTTGTTATCATGGTTATGCGTTAAAAAACAGTAAATTTATCTGCTTTTTATCGTGCACCGATAAAAGGACTGTGCTACGAATTTTTTAATGTGGCATCTTTACAGAAAGTGTCAGCGAAGAAAATACAGCCTGATATCTGAACGACATAAGTGTATATGAATTGGGTTTATGTGCTTGTGCATAACGTTATACGCTCAACATTGAAAATGACTCGCAATAAATGTCAAAAATGGATTTTCTTCTATGACGTCAAACGACGAGAGAGAGGTCATACACGTATAATGATAAGGAGGCATAACTCCGTTATGCGTAACACTAGGTCAATGTAACTCAGATCACTTGGAGAGAATTTGTTGTGGACATGGACGCTATATTTCCTGATGTGAGCGGATGCAGTTTGGTAGTTTCACAATTTACAAGAAATATGACAACGTATTACATGTGAAAGCACGTAATAGCGATTTGGATGGCCCTATCCGATATATAAGTTAGTTCTTAGATTCCCATATTCTCCTGTTTGTGTAGATGTAATTTGACTAATTTTGCATCGTTATTACCAAAATACTAGCCATATTGAAATTGCAATATTAGTCCAAATACATTGAATATTGTACATCATAGGAACTAAAGTAGTTGCAGTTATGGCTACGTTTGATCTTTTAACACTTGTGTAAAGGTTTAGAATATGGTGTATTGCACTAAATATGTCAATTTCTTATGTAAATATGAATGAAACAATCAAAAACTTTCAAAGAATAAAACACCGTAAACCCTATATGCACGTATGATATGATATTGAACAAGGCTAAATGTAGATACTGAAGTCAGTTTCATGAAAAGTATCTGAACTATACGCAAAATATACACCATAATACTGACAGTGTAATCGGATGGATTGGGCGATTGTGTTTACTCTTGTTCAACCGACCTTCACCTCAAAGAAATTGCCTAATATGTAGAACAATGTTGACGTATGACATCACTACCGCTGACCGATTTCTTACAAAATGGCGGCTTTGCTGACAAGGGTACACAGGATTTTGCGAGGATCCTTCCATTGATTCAGGGATCGTTTGTACATAAATATGAGATGTAAGTAATCAGAATGATTCTGACTATCTGTGTATTGTTATATGTTTTTATCGTTTTCACTATAAGCATGATAAGTAAGAGAAAAAGCCAGAAATGCAGATAATTACCGTTGTCGTTCTGCATGACTTTGCGTCAGTCGTGGCGTCACGCTGCACGGAAACTTTGCCAATTTCTTATGAATTATGATATCGAATCATTGAGTTGTATCTATTTATAATTTCCTATTGCTTGCTACGATACTCTTTCCATGCATATTCCAATGGTATTGAGCCATTGCAAGCAATGAATAGACGGATGAATGTTGAAAAATTTCAGAAAATGCTACGCAGTGTAAAATTGGAATTTGGCTTTGTTTACATTTCAGACAAGCGCAGTCTTTCAAGCACAGCTTTCGTTTTCACACCCAATATGTTTCGTCTCATTTTATCTAAACAGTTGGTATTGGTGACACAGACCAGTTGCAATTTGATTCTAAAATGTATTGGGAATTTAGTGATGCATTTTTCGAAGCTGAATATGAAATATATGTGATGTAATATGTGTCTCAATACCGGCCTTCGCGAAACGTGATATTGTGAACACTATCCAATATGGCGGAAAGCGCTCTACGGCGTTCGTGTAAGTGCATTTTCGAAAACATCCCAACCGATTCTAGATTCATCGGCAACGTTTCAGAATTATAATTAGCGATTTCATGTAAACCTGATATCAGTGATCATGAATATGTTATTTTTGAAATTCCATACTCCCAGTAATTATCCAATTTTCACATTTCTAAACATACAGCAAATAACGCTGTGAATCGCGATTTCGTACTGTGTCAAAAATGGCGACATTTTCAATGAAGCCTATTTTGAAAGTTCATTTTCAGCACTTGAGCTGTCTAAAATAATAGTGGATGGTATCAAGAAACAGGAAATTTCCCGCAGAATTTGAAACTGTGAAGTGATTTTTATTGGACTTGAAATTGAGGGTTGAAGGGGAAGGACATATATGTCCCAATCATAGTTTCAAATCGCTATTATTGGTTTGTATTACAAGGGGGTGAGCGCAGTAGATGGAACAGTGAAACAAAAGCATGTGCGGTACGTGATGAGCGTTAACTTAAACCAGCACTACTTGTTCTCGATGTTTCATTTAAAGTGCATACACCCTTGTAATACAAACCAATAATAGCGATTTGAAACTATGATCGTTTGTTAAACAACTTTTATCCTAAGTTGAATAAAATTCTGAGATTTGAATGTTTCATTGGCAAGGTAAAATTATGAGGATTCGCAATCTTAATTTCACTTTATTCGATTTACCTTTTTGTTTAGAGTGAAATTCATCGGTACGTTTTCCCTGCAAACAGACTATAAGTAAGATAACAATTTAATTACATTATATCAACAAACAGTGCCATTAGTAAGAAACTCATTTTATCTTGGAGAAAGTTAATCTTGGAGAAGGTTATACAATGGCTATCTCATTTTATCTTGGAGAAGGTTACAGATTCTCACGCAGAGCGTAACAACCATAGAAGAAGCTTCCTCCCAATTTCCACCTTTGAGGACACTTCACAGTTGTATCAGGAGGTACAAACAGTCTGCAAAAGTTCCATAAGCCATACCTAGAACCAGTGCCGACACGCCATACCTAGAACCAGTGCCGACACGCCATACCTAGAACAAGTGCCGACACGCCATACCTTGAACAAGTGCCGACACGCCATACCTAGAACAAGTGCCGACACGCCATACCTAGAACCAGTGCCGACACGCCATACCTAGAACCAGTGCCGACACGCCATACCTAGAACCAGTGCCGACACGCCATACCTAGAACAAGTGCCGACACGCCATACCTAGAACAAGTGCCGACACGCCATACCTAGAACAAGTGCCGACACGCCATACCTAGAACAAGTGCCAACACGCCATACCTAGAACAAGTGCCGACACGCCATACCTAGAACCAGTGCCGACACGCCATACCTAGAACCAGTGCCGACACGCCATACCTAGAACAAGTACCGACACGCCATACCTAGAACTAGTGCCGACATGCCATACCTAGAACCAGTGCCGACACGCCATACCTAGAACCAGTGCCGACACGCCATACCTAGAACCAGTGCCGACATGCCATACCTAGAACCAGTGCCGACCTGATAGTCCCAGAGGAACTTACACAAACTTGGCAGGGAGAACCTTTCCTTCTGTATGACAATGGAATCCAGGACAAAATCTACCTTGACAAAATCCACACGGACAAAATCCACTCCAAAATTGCAACCTAGGACAAAATCCACCCTTAATAAATTCCACCCTAAGAAAAAAAAAATAATGACATGTTTAGTCACAGAAATGAATTTTATTCATATCAGACATTCATAATCAATAACAAAAAAACCCAAAATACATATGTAAGCTCATTTTTGCATATATAAATATGACAATTGCACATTTTCACATTTCACATTTATTAATCATTCATGCATCAATACATATATAAATATGACAACAGCATATATTTTCACACATTCAGACATATCTATGACTAAACATCTGGGAACAACAGCCAATTAGGAAAACGTAAATGCTATCAAAACAATGCTTGCAATGCTTGAGCAACACAACTTGATCAAAGATCAGGACACACTAAAACTTTTAACAATAGCAATTTGAGAAGGGTGGACTTTGTCCATTTTTTGTTAGGAAGAGGTGGATTTTGTCCGGGGTGGCAATTTTGGGGTGGATCTTGTCCGGGTGGATTTTGTCCAGGTGGATTTTGTCCGGTCACCATGACAATGGTGCTGAGCAAGATCGTCTGTTATTGTTTTCCACTGCCAGAAATCTAAACCTCCTCGAAACGTCATCTACATGGTTAAGTGACCCTTGAGCAGAACCTTCCAGAGGTCCTCCAGCCAGTAATCGACTACGTCGAAGATGCATACATCAGCCACCCCCATCGCCGAGGTCAGCACCCAGCTCGCTATGAAATTGACCTATGGAATGTTCACGACCGAATTCAGTCAGACCTACCAAGAACAAACAATGCTGTTGAAGGGTTCAATCGCTACCTGCAGTCCAGCATACAGGCCAGCCATACCAACATCTGGACTTTTATTGGAGTCTTACAAAAAGAACAGGTACTGAACGAAGTCCAGATGACGCAGATGGCGACTGGCCAGGAACCGCCCCCAAATGAAAAGCCTACCGTGACAGTGCCAAAAGACTTTCACGTATGGTTGAGAAATATAACTATGGACATTTTGGAATTTTTAAGAGCCATCTCCCACAATCTGTCCTTTTAAGTGAAATGATATTTATGAACTTTCTGAAAAATGAGCTCTAAGTGAATCTGAAGATTGATTTGTTGTGTTGTATTACATAGTGCTATAGATTAAACATTTAAAACTATTACTTTTAGTTTTGTGTGTTTTTGATATGATGGGGGGCAGTTGTCCGGGGGGCAATTAACCCAGGGGGCAGTTGTCTGGGGGGCACAATGGATGGGGGGCAGATAGCCAGGGGGCAGTTGTCTGGGGGGCAATTAGCCTAGACCCATTGGAGATTGGTAAAAGAAAGAAAAAGAAATTGAATTATTTAGAGCTAATTTTACATTAATATATGATTTCTTATTCAGCGCGCAATAAAAACAATGTAAGATATAAATCTTCTTCCGCTATATTAATATTAGACCTGTTGTCAGTGAAACATTAGTCTGCTCCACAAAGACATAACCATGGTATTTTGTGTTTCAGATATCGTTCCTGTTTGCATACTTCATTGACTTTCAACCATCACTACGTCTGGGGTTCTTTGCCCTTGGTTGCTCACCAGGTGGCTCTGCCAGCAACATATACTCGTACCTCACTGGAGGAGATGTCTCTCTTAGTGTTACCATGACATTCATCAGTACCGTGGCATCTTTAGGTAACTAGAATTGATTTCCCTCTTTTGATACACTTCTGATTGTATGTCAGTTGAGGGGCGGTGGGGTAGCCTAGTGGTTAAAGCGTTGGCTCGTCACGCCGAAGACCCGGGTTCGATTCCCCACATGGGCACAATGTGTTAAGCCCATTTCTGGTGTCCCCCGCCGTGATATTGCTGGAATATTGCTAAAAGCGGCGTAAAACTAAACTCAGTCAGTCAGTCAGTATGTCAGTTGACTCCATGTTGATGTGATGGCTGTATGTCAGTTGACTTGATGTTGATGTGATGGCTGTATTGTGGTTGACTTGATGTTGATGTGATGGCTGTGTTGTGGTTGACTCCATGTTGATGTGATGGCTGTGTCGTGGTTGACTCCATGTTGTTGTGATGGCTGTGTCAGTTGACTTGATGTTGTTGTGATGGCTGTGTCAGTTGACTCCATGTTGATGTGATGGCTGTGTTGTGGTTGACTTGATGTTGTTGTGATGGCTGTGTTGTGGTTGACTCCATGTTGATGTGATGGCTGTGTCGTGGTTGACTCCATGTTGATGTGATGGCTGTGTCGCGTGGTTGACTCCATGTTGATGTGATGGCTGTGTTGTGGTTGACTCCATGTTGATGTGATGGCTGTGTCGTGGTTGACTCCATGTTGATGTGATGGCTGTGTTGTGGTTGACTCCATGTTGATGTGATGGCTGTGTTGTGGTTGACTCCATGTTGATGTGATGGCTGTGTCGTGGTTGACTCCATGTTGATGTGATGGCTGTGTCGTGGTTGACTCCATGTTGATGTGATGGCTGTGTCGTGGTTGACTCCATGTTGATGTGATGGCTGTGTCTTGGTTGACTCCATGTTGATGTGATGGCTGTGTCGTGGTTGACTCCATGTTGATGTGATGGCTGTGTCGTGGTTGACTCCATGTTGATGTGATGGCTGTGTCGTGGTTGACTCCATGTTGATGTGATGGCTGTGTCGTGGTTGACTCCATGTTGATGTGATGGCTGTGTCGTGGTTGACTCCATGTTGATGTGATGGCTGTGTCTTGGTTGACTCCATGTTGATGTGATGGCTGTGTCGTGGTTGACTCCATGTTGATGTGATGGCTGTGTTGTGGTTGACTCCATGTTGATGTGATGGCTGTGTCGTGGTTGACTCCATGTTGATGTGATGGCTGTGTCTTGGTTGACTCCATGTTGATGTGATGGCTGTGTTGTGGTTGACTCCATGTTGATGTGATGGCTGTGTTGTGGTTGACTCCATGTTGATGTGATGGCTGTGTAGGTGGTTGACTCCATGTTGATGTGATGGCTGTGTCGCGTGGTTGACTCCATGTTGATGTGATGGCTGTGTCGTGGTTGACTCCATGTTGTTGTGATGGCTGTGTCGTGGTTGACTCCATGTTGTTGTGATGGCTGTGTCGTGGTTGACTCCATGTTGATGTGATGGCTGTGTTGTGGTTGACTCCATGTTGATGTGATGGCTGTGTCGTGGTTGACTCCATGTTGATGTGATGGCTGTGTCGTGGTTGACTCCATGTTGATGTGATGGCTGTGTCGTGGTTGACTCCATGTTGATGTGATGGCTGTGTCGTGGTTGACTCCATGTTGATATGATGGCTGTGTCGTGGTTGGCTCTATGTTGATGTGATGGCTGTGTTGTGGTTGACTCCATGTTGATGTGATGGCTGTGTCGTGGTTGACTCCATGTTGTTGTGATGGCTGTGTTGTGGTTGACTCTATGTTGATGTGATGGCTGTGTTGTGGTTGACTCCATGTTGATGTGATGGCTGTGTCGTGGTTGACTCTATGTTGATGTGATGGCTGTGTTGTGGTTGACTCCATGTTGATGTGATGGCTGTGTTGTGGTTGACTCCATGTTGATGTGATGGCTGTGTCGTGGTTGACTCTATGTTGATGTGGTGGCTGTGTTTCAGGTCTGATTCCCCTCTGGCTGTTTACATTGGGTACGCATGTCCTGGCCAAAGGAACCAACCTGAAAATTCCCTTCACAAACATCTTTGTATCGCTGTTGGGCCTGGTCATCCCTATTGGTATTGGCCTCATCATCAAGCACAAGAGACCAGAATGGGCCAAGAAACTGGTGAAGATTATTCGACCACTCACTGTGATCTTTCTTGTGTTTGTTTTCACTGTGGGTTTGTATGCCAACTGGTACATCTTCCGTCTGCTGGAACCACTGGTTCTGTTTGTTGGCTGTCTGCTGCCATATTGTGGCTTCTTCTTTGGGGGGCTTGTGGCTTTCTTTGCTCGGCAATCTAAGAAAAACGTCATTACCATTGCTATCGAAACTGGAATTCAAAATACAGGAATAGCCATTGTTTTGCTGAGATTTTCTCTGCCTGCCCCAGCTAATGACATCAGCATTGTAGCTCCTATAGCTGCTGCCATCTTCACACCCATCCCCTTAGTCATTGCCATTCTGTATATTGAAATCCGGAAAAGATGCCACAAGAAATACCCAGTGGACACCAAGGCCAGTTGTGATGACCATGCTGAGATGATAGGTAATTCACACAATTCCTCCAAAGCCTCATCTCGTGTTCCAGTGTATGAAATCACCAGCACCAAGGATCATGGAGATGGCCTAGAGGGCTAGGTACGGAGACCAGGATTGTAAGCTCCTAGCAACACATGACTTCTTCAGATATTCCACACCTGTTTCCTTCCCTGGGCTAGCTCCGGCTACCTGAAGTAGCGGAACCACCAGCCTCCACCATGGAGACTTGGTTAGCATGTTTAGACATGAATTGTGCATCAAAATTAGTTAAGGATGGAAGTGTCAGAAGATTTTCATCGGTAGCTTTGAGCAAGTGACAGTAGAGGCAAGGATTGTACATCAAAGATCATACTATCAAAGAGCACACAAACAGAGATTACTGTAAAAAACTATGCTGTGAGACGAAACAGCTCAAGCTGTTGTTGAAATATTTCCTGCCATTCTAAGAGTATCCCGATCCCCTTCCACCAGGAGCACTCCAAACTACCCCAGACAACCCCTTCCACCAGGATCACTCCAGACTATCTTGATCCCCTTCCACCAGGAGTACTACAGACTATCCCTGACAACCCCTTCCACCAGGATCACTCCAGACTATCCCTGACAACCCCTTCCACCAGGATCACTACAGACTATCCCTGACAACCCCTTCCACCAGGATCACTGCAGACTATCCCAGACAACCCCTTCCACGAGGATCACTCCAGACTATCTTGATCCCCTTCCACCAGGAGTACTACAGACTATCCCTGACAACCCCTTCCACCAGGAGCACTCCAAACTACCCCAGACAACCCCTTCCACCAGGATCACTCCAGACTATCTTGATCCCCTTCCACCAGGAGTACTACAGACTATCCCTGACAACCCCTTCCACCAGGATCACTCCAGACTATCCCTGACAACCCCTTCCACCAGGATCACTACAGACTATCCCTGACAACCCCTTCCACCAGGATCACTGCAGACTATCCCTGACAACCCCTTCCACGAGGAGCACTCCAGACTATCCCGATCCCCTTCCACCAGGAGTACTACAGACTATCCCTGACAACCCCTTCCACCAGGAGCACTCCAGACTATCCCTATTCCCCTTCCACCAGGAGCACTCCAGACTATCCCTGACAACCCCTTCGACCACGAGCACTCCAGACTATCCCTATTCCCCTTCCACCAGGAGCACTCCAGACTATCCCTGACAACCCCTTCCACCAGGAGCACTCCAGACTATCCCTAACAACCCCTTCCACCAGGATCACTACAGACTATCCCTGACAACCCCTTCCACGAGGAGCACTCAAGACTATCCTGATCCCCTTCCACCAGGATCACTCCAGACTACCCCTGACAACCCCTTCAACCAGGATCACTACAGACTATCCCTGACAACCCCTTCCACCAGGATCACTACAGACTATCCCTGACAACCCCTTCCACCAGGATCACTACAGACTATCCCTGACAACCCCTTCCACCAGGAGCACTCCAGACTATCCGTAACAACCCCTTCCACCAGGATCACTACAGACTATCCCTGACAACCCCTTCCACGAGGAGCACTCCAGACTATCCCTGACAACCCCTTCCACCAGGAGCACTCCAAACTATCCCGATCCCCTTCCACCAGGATCACTCCAGACTATCCCTGACAACCCCTTGCACCAGGAGCACTACAGACTATCCCTGACAACCCCTTCCACCAGGAGTACTACAGACTATCCTTGACAACCCCTTCCACCAGGATCACTCCAAACTATCCCGATCCCCTTCCACCAGGATCACTCCAGACCACCCCTGACAACCCCTTCCACCAGGATCACTACAGACTATCCCTGACAACCCCTTCCACCAGGATCACTCCAGACTATCCCTGACAACCCCTTCCACCAGGATCACTACAGACTATCCCTGACAACCCCTTCCACCAGGAGCACTCCAGACTATCCCCTAACAACCCCTTCCACCAGGATCACTACAGACTATCTGACACAGACAGGAGCACCCTCCAAACAGGAGCACCCAGACTAACCCCTTCCACCAGGAGCACTCCAAACTATCCCTGACAACCCCTTCCACCAGGAGCACTACAGACTATCCCTGACAACCCCTTCCACCAGGAGCACTCCAGACTATCCCTAACAACCCCTTCCACCAGGATCACTACAGACCATCCCTGACAACCCCTTCCACGAGGAGCACTCCAGACTATCCCTGACAACCCCTTCCACCAGGAGCACTACAGACTATCCTTGACAACCCCTTCCACCAGGAGCACTCCAAACTATCCCTGACAACCCCTTGCACCAGGAGCACTACAGACTATCCCTGACAACCCCTTCCACCAGGAGCACTCCAAACTATCCCTGACAACCCCTTCCACCAGGAGCACTCCAAACTATCCCTGACAACCCCTTCAACCAGGATCACTCCAGACTATCCCTGACAACCCCTTCCACCAGGAGTACTACAGACTATCCCTGACAACCCCTTCCACCAGGATCACTCCAGACTACCCCTGACAACCCCTTCAACCAGGAGCACTCCAGACTATCCCTGACAACCCCTTCCACCAGGAGTACTACAGACTACCCCTGACAACCCCTTCAACCAGGATCACTCCAGACTATCCCAGTCCCCTTCCACTGTAGATTCACTGTACGTCCACTCTATTATCCCAGGTACACCCAAAGACATACATGGCACTGTGTTCATGTAGCTTTGTTTGCAGATGTCACATATTTTTTTATTATATATGTTATATATTTCAGAAGTACTTTTATGATTGACTGTTTGAACGAAGTGTCATGTGACAGAGATGTGTGATAGCCAATTGTACCTGGTCAACAATGGTCAGTTTAATGGCCAATCATAATTTTTTTAATAACATTTTTCTGGTGTCTTGTTTACCATGTTCAAGAAACAAGTTTTATGAAGAAAAATTGTAAGTGCTGATATTTCACATCCACTTTGTGTATTCCACTGATCAAGTAATGTAAACATTGCAGGAGTCATTTCGTGTGTCACATTAAATACATGAAACTTGAGTTGTGGGACTGACCAAGTAATATAAACATTGCAGGAGTCATTTCGTGTGTCACATTAAATACATGAAACTTGAGTTGTGGGACTGACCAAGTAATGTAAACATTGCAGGAGTCATTTCATGTGTCACATTAAATACATGAAACTTGAGTTGTGGGACTGACCAAGTAATGTAAACATTGCAGGAGTCATTTTGTGTGTCACATTAAATACATGAAACTTGAGTTGTGGGACTGACCAAGTAATGTAAACATTGCAGGAGTCATTTCGTGTGTCACATTAAATACATGAAACTTGAGTTGTGGGACTGACCAAGTAATGTAAACATTGCAGGAGTCATTTCGTGTGTCACATTAAATACATGAAACTTGAGTTGTGGGACTGACCAAGTAATGTAAACATTGCAGGAGTCATTTCGTGTGTCACATTAAATACATGAAACTTGAGTTGTGGGACTGACCAAGTAATGTAAACATTGCAGGAGTCATTTCGTGTGTCACATTAAATACATGAAACTTGAGTTGTGGGACTTACCAAGTAATGTAAACATTGCAGGAGTCATTTCGTGTGTCACATTAAGTACCTGAAACTTCAGTTGTGGGACTGACCAAGCATCCATGTCAGTCTCCACGCCGGGACCTGTAGGTTGTGGGACAGACCAAGCATCCATGTCAGTCTCCACGCCGGGACCTGTAGGTTGTGGGACAGACCAAGCATCCATGTCAGTCTCCACGCCGGGACCTGTAGGTTGTGGGACAGACCAAGCATCCATGTCAGTCTCCACGCCGGGACCTGTAGGTTGTGGGACAGACCAAGCAGCAGGTTGTCCATGACCTGTAGGTTGTGGGACAGACCAAGCATCCATGTCGGGGCATCCATGTCAGTCTCCGCGCCCGGGACCTGTAGGTTGTGGGACAGACCAAGCATCCATGTCAGTCTCCACGCCGGGACCTGTAGGTTGTGGGACAGACCAAGCCAACGGGACCAGGTTGTGGGACAGACCAAGCATCCATGTCCGTCTCCATGGGACCTGTAGTCAGACCAAGCATCCATGGACCACTGGGTTGTGGGACAGATAAGCATCCATGTCAGTCTCCACGCCGGGACCTGTAGGTTGTGGGACAGACCAAGCATCCATGTCAGTCTCCACGCCGGGACCTGTAGGTTGTGGGACGGACCAAGCATCCATGTCAGTCTCCACGCCGGGACCTGTAGGTTGTGGGACTGACCAAGCATCCATGTCTCAGTCTCCACCGGGACCCGTAGGGTTGGGGGACTGACCAAGCATCCATGTCAGTCTAGGCCAGGACCCTTGAGGGTTGTGGGACTGACCAAGCATCCATGTCAGTCTCCGCGCCGGGACCCGTGTAGGTTGTGGGACTGACCAAGCATCCATGTCAGTCTCCACGCCGGGACCCGTAGGTTGTGGGACAGACCAAGCATCCATGTCAGTCTCCACGCCGGGACCCGTAGGTTGTGGGACAGACCAAGCATCCATGTCAGTCTCCGCGCCGGGACCTGTAGGTTGTGGGACAGACCAAGCATCCATGTCAGTCTCGCCCGGGACCGTGGGGTTGTGGGGACCAAGCATAGGTCTGTGGGTTTGTGGGACCAAGCATCCATGTCCAGTCTCCAGAGGCGTGGGACTGACCGGGTAGGTTGTCCGGGACCAGTGGGACCAAGCATCCATGTCAGTCTCCACGCCGGGACCTGTAGGTTGTGGGACTGACCAAGCATCCATGTCTGTCTCCACGCCAGGACCCGTAGGTTGTGGGACTGACCAAGCATCCATGTCCGTCTCCACGCCGGGACCCGTAGGTTGTGGGACAGACCAAGCATCCATGTCAGTCTCCACGCCGGGACCCGTAGGTCGGAACACAGTGGAATCAGGAAAAGTTCATTTTTTTTTTTATCACGTTTGGGATGTGTACAAATTTTGCTTCACTCTACTCTACAAAAGATGTCACAAAATCATTGCTGCCAAATTTGGTTACTGTGGTGTTCATGGATAAGTTAAAAGTGTATATATGATATCCATGTCAAGTCCGATGTTTCGCATACTTGTTGTCAGCGAGGTTAGATAAACTGTGATAGAGTTTGGTTGAGAGAGACACTGCCTGGTATACAACAATCAGTGACAATGTAACACAAAGCCTTATGATACAGAAGGAGCTCTTTTGTCATGCTCATTTTTATGATTGAAGAATGTATATTAACTGATCATCATTCTCTGAATTTAATTAATGCATCACACTCTCAGTTACATGTAACCAGTCACGTGACGAAATGGGTCCGGGTAGTTTTTTTAATATTTACCCGATCCAGGTCACCAGTCCCAGACCTCATCGTAATGATAAATATCTGATCATGTGTCTTTTTACGTGCAACAGGGACTTCAAGTGTGGAGCCCTGCGTCTTGTGTAATGTGTTGATACTCAAGGTCATACAGGGCAAATGCATTTTGTATTAGCGCACTATTACTAATTCAGGAACATAGAGGACGTTCTTGAGTATTTTTGGAAATGTAACCTTGGAAGACTGTCTCCCTCAGGCCTTGTTGTGCAATGTCACAAGTGAAACGGTGTTGTCATGTACATAATTTCAGCATATTTTTTATTTTTATGATGATGAATGTAAGTGCCTTACTCAACATATGCCAAGCCTACGTCCGCTTCATCCAGGGTGTATCCCATCAACTGTCCCATGCATGTGTATGTGTGAGAGAGAAACAGGGTTTTGCTGACTGAGAACAGATTGGTGTATTGTAGACATGGACATTGTTTCTGTTCATGTAACATGTTTGTTGTCCCTGTGACGTACTCGGTCAAGCTTCATGTATTTGTGAGTGGGTTAGTTATTTCTTTGTTTCCGTTTGCAAATGAAACTTAAAACATGTTTAGCTTTATTTGGCAATGAAATGTTTTTGAAGGGGGCCAAATTGTGCAATTGTTATTGCCGCATGACATCTGGTCACTTGGAGTGTACCTCCTGTCCAAGTCTTGACACAAGGTACTGCAGTGATAACCCCAGTTATTTTCATTTAGGATTTTGGACTTCATGACTTTGGTGGTGGTGGGCTAGACGAACAGCCCGACTAAATGTTACTGTGTAGGTATGATGAGGTGTTGTCCCTGCCCACTGTTCATTGTGTTGTTGATATCCTGTGAGGGAAATATTTACAACTGTCTCTACTTTCATCTAACAATATGGCTCTCACTTTTCCTTTGAGCTGACTGCAGATGACAAAATATTGCTTTCTTCAGAAGAACCTTCCCAAAATATATTTTTTAAAAGAATATAGGAATTGATTTTGCTTACAAATATGTTTGGACTATTGTTTACAGTTAGAGTAATTATAACTAGAGTTAGAGTTATTCTGTTGGACTATTGTTTACAGTTAGAGTAATTTAATAACTAGAGTTAGAGTTATTCTGTTGGACTATTGTTTACAGTTAGAGTAATTATAACTAGAGTTAGAGTTATTCTGTTGGACTATTGTTTACAGTTAGAGTAATTATAACTAGAGTTAGAGTTATTCTGTTGGACTTTTCCAACTTTGTTGTGTATAGTGATTGTCATATATTTCAGTGTTTTCTGTCGTCTCTTAGGGAGGAGTGATATAACCACCAAGTTGGTTGTGACAGTTCTTGTTACATGCCTGTGGTTGGTTGGTTGGTTGGTTGGTTGGTTGATGAGTGGAGAAGTTGTGTGTTGTCTACTGTAGAATGGACGATGGGGATATTGCGTCAGTCCTGAACAGTTGCATCTGAAAACTTGACAGCCCTGGATTGTACCCCACAACTATTTTAGCCAACTCTTGTTTTTATTTCTCTAAGTTATTGCTACTTTATTTCTCTATGTTATTGCTACTTTATTTCTCTATGTCATTGATACATGTTGGTATGTATTGCTAAAGCACTGTGTTGGTGATGTGGACCCTACCTGTCATCCCTCACTGACCAACTTGTCAAAACTAAACAGTGCTCAGGGATGATGTGACTACTGACCTGGGTCACCTTGACCTCCAGCTTTAATATTATTAGCAGCTCTGTGAACACAACTGCTGTAGGGAACTGGAATATGACCGCAGCAGCCAGTGATGTTTCTAAGGTCGACAACAGATCAATGACGTACGAGGTTAACAAGAAAGTTTATGGTTACAAATTGTCTCTTAAATTATGAATGGATTTATTATTAAACTATGTCTGCACCTTCTGTAAGGTGAGGCCCAGTGTTGAAAACATTCGGGTCTTGTTTGGTTGAAGTGAGTTTTCAGTTTTTGGTAAGTTTGAGATGAATGTTACCTGTGCGTGTATCTTACAAAGCCTACAGCATGAAGTGTTGATGCCACAACGCTGACAGGTCAGGGTGAGTGTGAGACACATGTAGTTCACGGCCAGTTACTGTTCCACTTGTTGACCTAGTGTTACTCAGTGATTGCTGGATGTGTTACGAGTCGGGGTCTTCATGTAGAAGGTTGGATGACATATAAGTAACAATGCTGGATGGGTCTTCATGTAGAAGGTTGGATGACATATAAGTAACAATGCTGTATTTGCTACTGCAAGTACCTGCAACACCTCTAGTTGTTTTTGCTTTCATTGACATTTGTTTCATGAAGTGTAATTCACATATATGTAGATAGATATGTCAGTATTTTGGTGAATCAATAAAGAGTCAATCTGTACATTTCGTTATGTATACAAAAACATGCATGAATGTGGAAAACAAATACAGAGGAGGTCTTGGATCACAGATAGATGTATGACAACTATGTAGGGTGGATCACAGCTTTATCAGATAGATGTATGACAACTATGTAGGGTGGATCACAGCTTTTTCAGATAGATGGATGAACTATGTAGGGTGGATCACAGCCATATCAGATAGATGTATGACAACTATGTAGGGTGGATCACAGCTTTATCAGATAGATGTATGAACTATGTAGGGTGGATCACAGCTTTATCAGATAGATGTATGACAACTATGTAGGGTGGATCACAGCCATATCAGATAGATGTATGACAACTATGTAGGCCGGATCACAGCTTTTTCAGATAGATGTATGAACTATGTAGGGTGGATCACAGCCATATCAGATAGATGTATGACAACTATGTAGGCCGGATCACAGCTTTGTCAGATAGATGTATGACAACTATGTAGGGTGGATCACAGCCATATCAGATAGATGTATGACAACTATGTAGGGTGGATCACAGCCATATCAGATAGATGTATGAACTATGTAGGGTGGATCACAGCCATATCAGATAGATGTATGACAACTATGTAGGGTGGATCACAGCCATATCAGATAGATGTATGACAACTATGTAGGGTGGATCACAGCTTTATCAGATAGATGTATGACAAGTGTGTAGGGTGGATCACAGCCATATCAGATTGTTCAGCAGTGGAGCGAGAACGAGCTGTGGAATGGCGCGGATGGGGATTCCAACAGCAATTTCAAGGCAGATTATCATAAGACCAATGAAACCGTCAACCAGACATCTGACAGTCCCGGAACTGAAAGACACTGAGTGACGACCCAGACTCAACATGTGCGCACCTGGATTGGGGTCTGAGCTATACACAGGATAGGTCTTAGTTGTACACAGGATAGGTCTTAGCTATGCACAGGATAGGTCTTAGCTATACACAGGATAGGTCTTAGTTGTACACAGGATAGGTCTTAGCTATGCACAAGATAGGTCTGAGCTATACACAGGATAGGTCTTAGTTGTACACAGGATAGGTCTTAGCTATGCACAGGATAGGTCTTAGCTATACACAGGATAGGTCTTAGCTGTACACAGGATAGGTCTTAGCTGTACACAGGATAGGTCTTAGCTATACACAGGATAGGTCTTAGCTATACACAGGATAGGTCTTAGCTATACACAGGATAGGTCTTAGCTATACACAGGATAGGTCTTAGCTGTACACAGGATAGGTCTTAGCTATACACAGTAAAGGGCTAACCTATACACAGCATACGTCTTAGCTATACACAGGATAGGTTTTAGCTGTATACAGGATAGGTCTTTGTTATATACAGGATAGGTCTTAGCTAAACACAGGGTAGGTCTTAGCTATACACAGGGTAGGTCATAGCTATACACAGAATAGGTCTTAGTTATACACAGGATAGGTCTTTGCTAAAAACAGGATAGGTCTTTGCTATACACAGGACAGGTCTTAGCTATACACAGGATAGGTCTTGGCTATACACAGGATAGGTCTTAGCTAAACACAGGATAGGTCTTGGCTATACACAGGATAGGTCTTAGGTATATACAGGAAAGGTCACAGCATAGGGTTTAGCAATACACAGGGTTAGTGAAGCATACGTAGAATCATTACATATGACCCCCGCCGATTCCTGCCATGCTTGTTACGATGTATTGACGGGGGAATATGTTAGTAATGTTATAGTATGACCAGAAATTATTGAGAATTTTAGGAATATGTTTAATTGGATTTCTAGTATAAACAACCTTGACCAGCTATCAAGTGCTTGGTTTCATTCAAGAGAGACAACTCCGTTAATCCTTTTGCATTAGTTTGTGAAGAGTTATCCCCCTTTGTTTACTTTCTAGCAGACGACATTTTCAGTGATCCTCAGTATGGATGATTTAGAGAAGAGGAAGTTGATTTTAGAGTATTATAACAAGGACATCAGATCAGCTTAAGTGATTTCAAGAAGAACAGGCATCCCTTTGTCCACTGTTTATCGTGTTTTGAAAAATATTGCAAATGGATATGGCATTGAGCACCAGGGAGGCGCAGGTAGGCCCAGACAATTTTGACTGTCGGTGACAGGAGGCGGCTTAGTATTGTTGTTTCTATAAACAAACGAAGGAGTTTAGAAACCTTAAGGCTGGATATGATTGATAGAGGAACTGTGGCTATCTGTAAGGAGACAATTAGAACTGAGCTGCATGCAATGGGTTGGCAGAAAAGTCGTGGAATTCCATCACCGATCATGAAGCCTGAACAAAAGGAGCGAAGGTTGAACTGGTGCTTACAGCATAGAAATTTGAACTGGGACAATGTGATTTTCTTAGATGAAAGCTCTGTGTGGCTGTTCCCTAATACACTGACATTCTGGACCAAACAAACTGAAAAACCTTTGTATCAGCGCCCAAAGTACAGTCCGAAATTTAACGTGTGGGGTGGCATATCTGTGTTAGGGGCATTGAAGGGAATATGAACAGTGAGCGGTACACAGATATTCTTGAGGGACATTTACTTCCATCTGTTCACGTGTACTATTGAAATGTTTTGATCTTCCAGCAGGACAACGACCCAAAACATCGTTCAAAGTATTCACAGGCCTGGTTTCTGACCCAAAATATGACATTATTAGATTGGCCAAGCTATAGCCCTGACCTAAATCCAATAGAAAATGTTTGGGGACTTATGAAGGAAAGTGTCAATAAGAAAAATCGGACAAATATTGCTGAAATGAAAGAAGAGGTGGTCCGATATTGGGACAGCATGGACCACGCTTTTCTAACTTCTTTGATCAGTAGTATGCCTCGCCGCATTGAAGCCTGCATTGCTGCCCATGGTGACTTGACAAAATACTAACTGTTCACCTGTCTTTCAATCTGGAGTTATGTTCTGCTAATATTCACATTTCATACGTGAGTAATGAGTGAAAAAAAAAAATATTACAATCTTTAAATTTTCAATAATTTCTGGTTGTACTGTATAAAGAAACATAGCTTTGTTTTGAGTTTAATCTGGAGGAAATGTTTACCGGGTTTGACGGGTGCTGCTGTCTCTGACACTCGCCCCGTATACATCCCTTCCATCCTCCCCAGCAGATGAAGAGCCTGCATGATCTGACATTCGCCCCGTATACATCCCTTCCATCCTCCCCAGCAGATGAAGAGCCTGCATGATCCGACATTCGCCCCGTATACATCCCTTCCATCCTCCCCAGCAGATGAAGAGCCTGCATGGTCTGACATTCGCCCCGTATACATCCCTTCCATCCTCCCCAGCAGATGAAGAGCCTGCATGGTCTGACATTCGCCCCGTATACATCCCTTCCATCCTCCCCAGCAGATGAAGAGCCTGCATGTGGTCTGACATTCGCCCCGTATACATCCCTTCCATCCTCCCCAGCAGATGAAGAGCCTGCATGGTCTGACATTCGCCCCGTATACAACCCTTCCATCCTCCCCAGCAGATGAAGAGCATGCATGGTCTGACATTCGCCCCGTATACATCCCTTCCATCCTCCCCAGCAGATGAAGAGCCTGCGTGGTCTGACATTCGCCCCGTATACAACCCTTCCATCCTCCCCAGCAGATGAAGAGCCTGCATGGTCTGACATTCGCCCCGTATACATCCCTTCCATCCTCCCCAGCAGATGAAGAGCCTGCATGGTCTGACATTCGCCCCGTATACAACCCTTCCATCCTCCCCAGCAGATGAAGAGCCTGCATGGTCTGACATTCGCCCCGTATACATCCCTTCCATCCTCCCCAGCAGATGAAGAGCCTGCGTGGTCTGACATTCGCCCCGTATACATCCCTTCCATCCTCCCCAGCAGATGAAGAGCCTGCATGGTCGGACATTCGCCCCGTATACATCCCTTCCATCCTCCCCAGCAGATGAAGAGCCTGCGTGGTCTGACACTCGACCCGTATACATCCCTTCCATCCTCCCCAGCAGATGAAGAGCCTGCGTGGTCTGACACTCGCCCCGTATACATCCCTTCCATCCTCCCCAGCAGATGAAGAGCCTGCATGGTCTGACATTCGCCCCGTATACATTCCTTTCCATCCTCCCCAGCAGATGAAGAGCCTGCGTGGTCTGACACTCGCCCCGTATACATCCCTTTCATCCTCCTCAGCAGATGAAGAGCCTGCATGGTCTGACATTCGCCCCGAATACACCCCTTCCATCCTCCTCAGCAGATGGAGAGCCTGCATGGTCTGACACTCGACCCGTATACAACCCTTCCATCCTCCTCAGCGGATGAAGAGCCTGCATGGTCTGACACTCGCCCCGAATACACCCTTCCATCCTCCCCAGCAGATGAAGAGCCTGCGTGATCTGACACTCGCCCAGTATACATCCCTTCCATCCTCCTCAGCAGATGAAGAGCCTGCATGGTCTGACATTCGCCCCGAATACACCCCTTCCATCCTCCTCAGCAGATGGAGAGCCTGCATGGTCTGACACTCGACCCGTATACAACCCTTCCATCCTCCTCAGCGGATGAAGAGCCTGCATGGTCTGACACTCGCCCCGAATACACCCCTTCCATCCTTCCCAGCAGATGAAGAGCCTGCTGTCTCTGACACTCGCCCCGTATACACCTCTTCCATCCTCCTCAGCAGATGAAGAGCCTGCGTGGTCTGACATTCGCCCCGTATACATCCCTTCCATCCTCCTCAGCAGATGAAGAGCCTGCATGGTCTGACACTCGCTCCGTATACAACCCTTCCATCCTCCCCAGCAGATGAAGAGCCTGCATGGTCTGACACTCGACCCGTATACAACCCTTCCATCCTCCTCAGCAGATGAAGAGCCTGCATGATCTGACATTCGCCCCGAATACATCCCTTCAATCCTCCTCAGCAGATGAAGAGCCTGCGTGGTCTGACACTCGCCCCGTATACACCTCTTCCATCCTCCCCAGCAGATGAAGAGCCTGC